AAATGTTGTTTTTGTCCATTTGCAGCCACGTCAACGAGCATCGACAGAAGTGCGCCCATAGAAATAGGTCTGCAAAGCCGGACACAAGGTAAAGTTACAGCATTTTTACAACATGATGTGGAGTTTAATATTGAATAAGTGAAGTAAAGGAAGGTGGTATGAAGGCATTTGTTTTGTGCTGTGAAATTGTTTGTTTTTGTTTCTTTTTTGTTATTGTTTTTTTTTTTTAGTCAGAAGAGAAGCTGATGAGGCATCTTCTGAAGCCAAAAAAAACAAGAGTTGAGGTAAATTATGTTACTTCAGATGTCACATGTGGCTGATATTGTTCTCTGTGTGGTATCATTAGAAATGTGATGCTTCAAACATCCCCCACCCCCCAGTCAGGACACTGAAAGTGACAAAGTCTGAATATCTTAACTTTTAGAATTTTCTGCAGTTTGGGCAGTTAAAGATGTTTGATATTATATCACATTTTATCCTGTAATTTGCTAATAATGTGAAAACTGCTTTCACCCCAAGGATGAGGAATGTGTGTGTCTGGCTGCCCGTCTAGAGGACCATAAAGAAGGCAATGTGCAAAGCTGGTGATGTGTAACCTGACTTACATTGGAATTGCCATCTCAGACACAGAAGACCGGGGTTTGCTGACCATCTCTGGCTTCAACCTTGGAGTTTTAGTGTCATTTGTAATTTGGCTGATCTGATAAGATTTCTGGGACTTTTCCTGAGTAATGTAATGAGTGTAGAATATGAAGGCCAATTCAACATTTGTAGCAAGAGGTTGGCAGGTTAAGGGGAACAATGCATGAGTCACAGTTATAGGGTGTTTGCAGATGTAGGTTTACTTCGGGGGGATTACCTGTAGTCTTCAACATGCATCTATGGTATGAGTTAGCAAGTTTAATGTAGAGATACTTAACATCAATGAAAGAGAAACCTGAAACAAAGCACACAAAGTCAATGGTAAAACTTGGAGTTGCTTTTTATTGTGTTAATTTCACAGATTTCTTAGATCAGAAAAGTTTTTTCAAGTATTAACATCTTGGATTCCTTTTACACAGTCTTTGCTTTAGCTTAGCCACAAATTTTAGTTGTTCTAACATTTGTTTGACCCTAAGCCCAGTTTATTGTTTTAAAGCTGAGTTTTCTGTTTTCTTCTCGTGAGGTTATACTTTAAAAGAAATGTGGTGACACTTTTTATAAAGTAAATTTGGATTCAGTTTTAACAACACACTAATGCCAATTTTGGGATTTTTTTTGTGTGTGTGTGTGAAAAGTTTGTGTTTCAGTCTGAATTCTATGCATCAGAATTTACATTTTACTGTAATAAAGTACTGTAATAAGCTTTACTTATCACGGTGTCATTTCGTCTTCATAAACAAAAGAACAATAAACTGACCATGTAACTGTGAAGGATGTTTGTCCCAACATGCTGATGTTTTCATTTTTAATTTTAAAGCAACATCCAACATATAAAATATTTATAACATGACTGTTGACACAGCGTTTTAGGAGATGGACATGAGATTTGGTAGTTCTCAAGTGTTTCACAACCATTCTGTTGTATCTGTCCTGCTTAACATGTACCTACTGTAGCGGCGATGTGAAGCCCTTCCTAATAAACAACTTGCTGCTCTGGAAATGCGCTTTCATTTTACCAATAACTGCCTGAGTTGTTGAACTGATACATGTGATCAAAGTAAAGTTTGCAGTTAAAGCGTCATTCAGATCAGGCATCTAGAGAGGCCGCACGATGTTGATAACTGGGGGCTTTGCAAACACACTACACACATACAACTGAAGATGGCGGATGTGTTGAGTGTTCTTCGTCAGTATAACATCCAGAAAAAGGAGATTGTTGCTAAAGGAGATGAAGTTATATTTGGGGAGTTCTCCTGGCCGAAGAATGTCAAGACCAACTACATAATCTGGGGGTATGTCAGTGCTAATAACATCTACAAAGTGCTTCAGTAGGCCTGCAGCTGATGCTCATCTGTGCCTTGTGCTGCTAGTAACGACGGAAGGCTCGCTAGCTACGAAATGCTAACCCAGCTACTTTCCTCAAAAGTTAAAGCACCCTTTTAATTGTTAGTGCATCAGGGAGGTCTCTTCCATAGACTATAGAGCCAATTTTACTAGCTTCCATGAAAGCCAATGTATGTCTTTTAAACTTACCTCGCGAGGGGTTCAGCCAAACTTGTAGTGTTGTGTAATGCTAATTAATCATGGACGCTAGCTAGCGAGCGAGTTGTTTCACGGAGACAGAGATTCAGAGAGTCGAGTTGAAACACCTGTGTTTGTTTTTCTCTTTTAGTCCCTACAGTCATGACTATAAACGTCTTTCTTCACCGTGCAAAAACCAAACTTTGTGCATGTGACGCAGAAATTAAGGTTGCAACTAGCAGTGCTTTAGCTAGCAGGAGAATTGTTGACAGTGGTTGATAAAGTAACTTTGGCTTTATATTCAAGCTTTAATGCGGTTCACATCAAACCACTTTAAGTGTGCTTCACGTAGTAATTCACTTAAAGTTTGTTAGTTGTAAAACTGGACACTTGCATGCTTTTTCAAAAATGTTTTGTGCTTGTTTTGATCTTTAGTACTGGTAAAGAGGGGCAGCCCAAAGAGTACTATACCTTGGACTCTATCTTGTTCTTGCTCAACAATGTGCACCTGCCGCATCCATCCTATGTGCGAAGAGCTGCAGTAAGTGCTCTGGAGTTCATATGAAACAGCCCAGAATCTGTCAGTATCAATCCTTCATTGCTTACCAACGTGTTGTTTGAGGACAATCCTGATTCCAGCCCACATTTTGTCATACATGCAGCATCTTGTAAACTTTAAAGAGTGTTGACTTTTATGATTGTGTGTTGTTTATAGACAGAGAACATCCCTGTTGTCAGACGACCTGATCGAAAGGGCTTGCTGTCATATCTTAATGGCGAGAGCTGTAAGTAGCGCTTGGGCGCTGAGGATGGGGGTGTTTTGTGGCATCTAGTACAGCCTTTGGCATTTTCCAAAATTGTAATGATTTCTTCCAGGTTTTGGTTCCCTGAAAATTTGCTTCAAATGTTGTTTTTGTCCATTTGCAGCCACGTCAACGAGCATCGACAGAAGTGCGCCCATAGAAATAGGTCTGCAAAGCCGGACACAAGGTAAAGTAACAACATTTTTACAACATGATGTGGAGTTTAGTTTCATAACTTAATCCTGAAATGTAAATTTCAGGAATAATTACTACTTATAACTGCTAGAGCTGATACCAGTGATGCAACATACACTGTCCTATTTTTACAAAAACAATTTTGCATAAGTGAAATAAAGGAAGGTGGGATGAAGGAATTTGTTTTGCATAGTGATACAATGTTTTTTGTTTGTTTTTCTTTCTTTGCTATTGTTGTTTGTTTTTTTGTTTTGTTTTTTAGTTAAAAGAGCAGCTGATGAGGCATCCTCTGAAGCCAAAAAACCAAGAGTTGAGGTAAATTATGCTACTTCAGCTGTCACATGTGGCTCATGTTGTTTTCTGTGTGGTATCACACAGGACACAGAAATCACAGTTTTCCTATTCTGACATACTTAACATTGAATTTGTTTACATATTCTTACTGTAATAAATGTGGACCACTCCCAACACCTGAAAATACTACCACTACTAATCATGATGATGATGATGATGATAATAATTCATTTTTTAAAATAATTCCATTAGGAAAATATTTAAATGAATTAACTTAGTAAACTAAATAGTGGGAAACGCAGCTCATTAAATATTCTTCAATGTTTAGTGTAACTGAATACAAAATGGGTAACTGTGTCATGCATGCAGGTGACAGAGTCTGAGTATTTTAACTTTTACAAATTTCAGCAGTGTGGGCAGTTAAAGGTTTTTGATATGATGTCATTTTTTATCCTGCAATTTGCTAATAATGTGAAAACGGCTTTCAATCTCAAGGATGAGGAACGTGTGCGTCTGGACAAGGAGCGTCTGGCTGCCCGTCTGGAGGGCCATAAAGAAGGCATCGTGCAGATTGAACAGATCAGGTATGATCTGGTTATGAGCCTTTCCTTATTCTGATTACCAGTTCCTCCTAACAGATAGTTCAGCTTATCAAAACGTTTGTCCCTGTCTTCCAGATCACTGTCTGAGGCCATGTCTGTGGAAAAAATTGCAGCCATTAAAGCAAAGATTATGGCAAAGAAGCGTTCAACTATCAAAACAGATCTCGATGATGACATAACACTGAAGCAGAGAAGCTTTGTGGATGCAGAAGTGGATGTCACCAGGGATATTGTTAGCAGAGAGCGGGTCTGGAGGACTAGGACAACCATTCTCCAGAGCACTGGAAAGGTTAGTGTACACTTTATGCCAGACTGTTTTCTGATGAAACTTTGAAACTTTCCTTCAGAAGCAAGAGCCTTAAGACAAGTGTGTTGTCAACTAGCGCTGTATAAATGAATTATAATTGACTTGACACTATAATGTCAGATGTATCATATCATGTAACCAGAAACCCCTTTTAACCCTTCGCCATCACCTGACGTGCACCTCCCTAGAAGTCTGTCTAAAACTTGAGTCGACGCAGAAATAACTGAATGGCCTGGAACATAAAAAGGGGTTTCTAGTTACCTTGTGAGTTATGACATAGATTTCCCACAGAAGTCTAAATTATACATTAGCCTCCTGAACCCTAAGAGACAGTGCATTGGGTTGAGAAAACATTCAAATGGCCCAGCCATGAAAGCACCATAAATGTGTACCAGCACATGGACCAGTGTGAACCACTAGATGGCAGCAGAAGCTGAATTTAAATGTTAGGAATTAACAGATTGTTGAAAAGATGTGCTCACCTATCAGTTTAAATTTGGCTTATCAAAAACGAAACCATCTTATTTAAAGTCCAGCCATCTTTGTTTTGTTTGTTTTAAGGTTGTCAGATATCTGATCTTATCTTAGTTTAACCCTTTTAAAGCTAAATAGATTTGTTTTGTCAATCCCTCAATAAACTAATTTAATGTGTCTCATTATGTCTAACTGGAGAGAGATGGATAGGGAGGTAACAGTGCACAGTATTCAGTTAAGTATGAATGACTGTTCAGATTCCACATGTTTAATATTTTTCTTATGATATCCAGAGTATTAAATGATAAAAATTTAAACAAAAACCAAATATTCATGAACAAGAATTTAGAGTTCACAGTTAAATTAAACTAATCCTTCACACCAGTTGTGCCGTTGAATTTTTTTTTCTTTAATGAAATGTTCAAAGTAAGGCAGCTGTCTCACTTTGTAGACACTGAGGGCAAAACTTGGAATTCCACCTGAACATCTGTTCTGTGGATGGATCGCTTGTTAGGAGAGAAATTGCAGAATCATGCAAAATATTGATTTTAATTATTGTACGTATTTAATGAACCTGCTGCGTTGTTTATATGCAACAGCGAATGGACCATAACTAGTGAAATTTGAGCTCCTATTTGAATGTTCTTTTTGTTGTTTACATGCAAAGACTTCAGTTTTCTTGGCTCACAGTTCAAACTTAACCTGGGAAATTCCGTACTGAGGTGGGCATGATACGCACACATGATACGATGATGCTCATCGTTTCTAAACCAAACTAAAGATGTAGACAGACTGTTAACTTAACAGCACACAGTAATTAATAACTTGTACATTTTAAATGTGTTTTAATTGAATCTCTTCTGTGAGGGAAGTCTTGTTTTTGTTTTTAAAAGGAAACAACTCCTGCTCAACCTATTTTTGTTCCTTTTTCAGAACTTTTCCAAAAACATTTTTGCCATCCTTCAGTCCGTGAAAGCTCGAGAAGAAGGGCGAGCTCCGGAGCAGAGACCAGCACAGAACACAACTCAAGCGGTAAACTGACAAATATCCACTTCCTACAAATTCCGTTACGTTATTTTTATTTTTTTATTTTTTATTGGACCTTAATCTTTTTTATTAAGTGTTTATTTGCACATGGTTTAGATCTTAATCACACTTTTTTTGTAAATTTATTTCTTTACAATTTGAAAATACAGGAGTAATAAGGACGATTAAGAACCAGTTGATGATTTGTTGGTTGAATAAGAACACACCTTTAATTTGATTAGCTGTTAGTCCTGTTACGTTTGCATCTCATAAATAAATCAAAGTTAAAACTGACATATATTCATCTTATAATGAATTTGTCCAAAGTTATGTGTGCAAAAATAGTCTGTAGGTGTTTGACCTAGTTGCAAATCCACTATAGTTTAAACTGAAGAGCGGTGTGTTTGTATATACAGGTATTTATTGTTTCGTATCTTTTCCAGGACCCGTCCCTAAGGAACAAGCAACCTGTCCCAGCTGCCTATAACAGATACGATCAGGAGCGATTCAAGGGAAAAGAAGGTGCGTTTTAGAAATGCTTTACTGATCATTTTAGTATCAATCCTTTTGCAAAAGAGTGCTTGTTTGTTTGAGTTAATATAAGTTCACTGATCCACAGTTTCCACATTTAAACCCAGCATCAGTAAACAAATGTGGTCAGAGTATGGAGAGAAATTTGCCACAAATGCATGCGATATGATTCACAAGCATAAACTAAAGATTCACAAACGCGTACAATGATATGTGTGTAACTTTTGAGAACTCAGACGCACGTGCTTTAATCCACACACACACAAATATCAAGCAATCTGACCACACGTGAAACAATTTTACAAATGCGTTCATCCAAACTTGAATAAATACTGATCATTTATGATCATTTATGCACACTTTATTAAGTTTAGCTTCACGAATCAGATAATGTTCTCTTTCAAAAACATTTCTGTACGCGCACACATCTAAAAATAATCATCTCTCATGTCCTTCACAAAACCATAAATGCGTGAGCACCAGTCACCTGATACTCACAGACCACGTCACATGCCCACTTGAGATTTTAAGGCAAATTTAATGCTGCTAGCTTCACACAGATTCACAAATGTAAGCTGCTTTCAAGTCCCAGTGTAAAACTGGGACATCTGGGCTTAGAAGCGGCGAACACGTTGCATAATATGCAGGTATTAGATCTTTGTTCAGCCAGTGCGCTCCAACTCATAGCATGTTGTTGTCCTAGAAACGGAGGGCTTCAAGATCGATACTATGGGCACGTATCACGGCATGACCCTGAAGTCAGTGACGGTAAGAAATAACTTTTTGCACAATAACTACTGACCAAAACCTCATACATGTTGTGACGCATGTATACAAGGACGGTTTTCCACAGGAAGTTGAGTCATAAAATCTGTCAAGTAGTTAAATAACACATTTTAAATGTGTTATGTATGTAACAGCATTTGAAAAACAGATGCCTGCTGTTCTTTCTAAATAGATTTTACTGTTTCAAAGAAATTCAGCACAAAGTACAGATAACTGGATACATGTCCTCTGTGTAGGTAATGATGTCGCATCCTTACACGTCACCTGTCACAGCCATTTTTCAAAATAACTTCTTGGACAGTTTAATATGTGGAGATGTTTACTTGCACTGTCTGCTTCAGAAATCTAAAAGTCATACAGTAGCTCTGATTATTACAAAAAAGTACTTTATTTCTGTACAGTGAAGCACAGCGTGTTCTTTCATAAAATAAAACTCCAGTAGTTTGACTCAGATGTAGAAATAGTTCTTATCTCTGTTGTACAAAGTTGGCTAGAGCACTTGATTTAATTTTTACATTTCCAACATTTATGCACATTTTGTGTTGTGGATAAAGTGGGTTTAGATTATAAGTAAAGTCCCTTGATATGAAGTTCAAAAAAGAGGATGTGCTGAGATATAAATCTCTTTTTATTTTGTTTTTATTTATTTATTTATTTCATTTTTAACAGTGAGCATGTGAGTGTAACAGTGTCCTTTCACTCAGCTGATTTCTCTCCAGTCACTCTGTGTAAGTGTGTCCTGCCTGCTCTCTCTTTAAATGCGTTGATGCAGGCGTTTCGCTTGTTGCTCTGAAGGTGATGCCAGTATTTCAGGAGCTCATTGGGATGAAACCCATGTGATGTTATCAGATGGCTGTACTTGCAGCTGGAGTAAGATACTCGCCAGTGGTTGAATAAGAACTCATTTGGTGGTGGCGTGGGTTCGATTCCGAGGCTGGCCAGACATATTCCCACAAACACGTCCTCCAGATGCAGATGGCGGATACGTAAAGACACTTGATAGATTTTCCTTGCGAGATCCCCAGAAAAGACGTAACCAGTCCCAGAGCAAAAGGTGGGATACTTGTCACCTGGGTACAGCTCCGGGGGCATGTACCACTTGCTGTTTTTATTTCGGTTGGGTGCGTAGCCTCTCATGTTGTTTCCTGTGAAGTAGTTCCTCCTGGGCTCCAGTTCAGGCCTGAGCAGCTTAAAAATGAGGTACTCTGTGTTGACGAACATGTCGCTGTCTGTCTTCATGACGTAGCTGGTGTGCGGACAGTGCATTGCAACCCAGTTTAGTCCCATCAGTGTCTTTATGGTGAGGTTTTTGTAAGAATCCAGGAAGTCCTGCTGAATGATATCATGATGCCTCCGGCTCTCTGCTTCTAGCATCCTTTGTTGTAGAAGTCCCAGTTCTCCATCTTTTTTCCCCAGCAGAAAGAGCCGGATAAATCCCAGAGCTGGAGCAACACTCTCGTTCCCCCACGTCTGCCGTATAGCATTCCTCGCCTCCACCTGCCGAGCTTCAGTGGCAATCAGCAACACCAGAAATGGCGCAGCTGTGTTGTCTGCACATTTATCAGGCTCGTTAATGATGTAAGGGTACGGTCCGTGGGTTATCACGGCGCTGAGGTCTGCATCGTCTCTTTGGCTTGTGTTTGCTGCCAGAACGTTCTGAAAATTTGGGTCTGGTTGAGTTGGGTAAACTCCCTGATTTTCACGGGAGCTGATGTTGGCGTCAGCCTTGAAAGTCTGTTGAGGAATGATGACGAACCTCCACTGTGAATGGCGGGTGCTTGTGTTCCATTTGGCTTTGGTGGTGTGAGCTGCTGCACCTCCATACACCAGAGGATGCCCTCTCCACCATGGCATATCAGTGAGCCTCGGCAGCCACACCTGGTGGACTAGAAAGAACAGCACACCCAGCAGAGAGAGCAGATACAGAAGTTTAGCTGTGTGTTTACAGCAGTGGCGTCGTTTCCACTGCATGGTTTCGACACTTCTAGTCTTGACAGTTGTTACGCTTCAATCCAGTTGTCAGCAGGGTTTCAGCTCCTGTTGATGAGTAATATAAATCACTTTGTTGATACCCAGTGATGGCCTAGGAGACAGTGGAAAGAAGAGTATACATTTTCATTGTGAAAAACGAAATTATACTCAGTTTTCATTCTGATAAGGCTGCAGTTTACAGTAAATAAGCTTGTAAATACCAGCCAAGTTAAGAAAACTTTGCAGCAATCTGGTGAGCATGTTTTCATTTCTTGATTTGGAGAAATACACAACTTGATTGGCCCATCCTGTTGTTTTTAAACATATTTGATATCATATTAATGTAATGAGGGTACATTTCTATAGTCTAAATATAGTTCGTAGGCTTTTATATCGACATTAAAATCTACAAATTACCTGCTTTGACGTCTTCCTCTACCACACTCGTTTGGTTTTAGTTTTCATGTAATAATGCTAGAATGCTAGTTGTGGCTAATTGTAGAATGTCAACAGACGGTGTCGTTTTTGCAGATGAGTTTTCTTTCTTTTTTTTAAGAAAATTACAAAACAGAGGAGCCTAACATAACAGAGAGGACTTTGAGAGAGTTTAAATTCTCTCCACTGTTGCATGCTTCAGTAGAAATAAGTTTTTCTCCCTTTAGAAAGACACACCCTTTACATCCTGTAAGTTAAACCACAATCAGAGGAGTGAATTATATCAGTCATCTGTTATGACTGTTTTTATGTCGATGTTCGTCTGTATTTTCAATTCTTCACAACATAAACTCACCGTTTTTAGTCTAAAAACTTGTCTCTGTGGTATTCATCGCTGCTGGATAAATTAGTCTTCACACATTCCGACTGGCCTCTCGGTCTCTGTTCCTGCGGTGCTTTTGGCCACATCATAAATGCACACAGCCCCATGTCCTCACTTTTTTTTTTTTTTTTTTTTTTTCCTGCAGCATATGTCAAATTGTCCTCTTCTTTGGCTGGTAAGGTTTCTGTAGTCAGTCCAGGGAAATTAATTTTTCCAGGTAATCCTAGCTTTTTGCCTCATGCGTGCACAAATGTGCTGCTAGTTCATGCGTGCATGCCTGGCAAGAGCATGTTTGAGCGCTCCGGTGTTGCAGTCTCTCAATCTGCCTTGGCGCATTGTCCCTAGAGGCTTGATTTTAGCTGTGGTGTGCTGCTTCTTTTGCTCATGGCCGAAGAGAGAGGAGACACGGTAGTTGACAGTAAGCTGCAGCCCTGGGTCCTTTTACTGTCCCCGCTGTCATGTTGTGTATATCAAAGCAGGCACGCAGAGATGGGATTCACATCTGAATGATAAATAAGCCTACATGTCTCCGTTCAGCTTTGCTCCCCCTTTCTGTGTTTATCCTCGTTTGCTCTTGTTCTTCCTCTTTGATTCACACGCCCGCTGTCCACTGTGTTTCTCAGATCGTTCAGATTTAGGTTTTTATGCTTATCCCCCCTCCCTATTCAGCTGCCTCTCACGCACTGCTCCTTCTAGCTAGAGGAATGAAAGCAACGGGGGAGGAGGAAGATGAACGGAAGGAAGAGCTGTGAGTTGTGAGCTCGCTCTGAAAGGCAGCTCTAGGCTCGGTGGCATTACGCTCTCTCACCACGTCACGCCGTCTTTGCTGCTGTTGCTGCCTGCTCTGTTAAAGGGGAGGGGGTTGGGCTACTGACCTATGCAGAATGAGGAATAAACCATTATCTCAATTGGCATGCTGTGAGAAAAGGGAAGAGAGGTCATTGTGTACACACTTCCACAAATCTTAGAGGATCGCTGATTTAAAAGTGGCAAACATCAGCTTACATGTTGTTGACTGAAAAACAGTGGACCCCAGCAGTCTGTCACCCCCAGCTGTCATCTCACACAAACGTCTTGCATATAGTTAATTAAAATTATCTTTACACTAAGCTCACTAAATCTAATATTTAGCGTCTTTGCCCATGTTACAATACATATATTTTATTTGTGTCTGGTAATGACAGAAAAATAAAAAAACGGTGACTTTTCAGGTGACAAACCACAACTGTGATTCTTAGCAGCACAGAGATGACTGAAAATGCCGGCATAAGTACTGTTGCTGAAGCGTGAACTAAAATTGTAAGCGACCGTTATGTTTTTATGACTGTTCCAGCTGTAGAAATCCCATTTCTGAATTTTACAACATAATCACAGTTTTCTCATCCTGTGAGAAAGTTTGACTCCACTAACTTTTGCATGTTGGACTTTTATGTTTCTTATTTCTGGTTTCATCTAAACATATAGGCCTTTGCCATAGCTTAGTACAGTGGTGGTGCAGATTGAATTACAGAATAGATCGATTTATTGTAAGCTATGCTTTAATGTACAGTTATCACCCATCACACCTGCTCCGCTCCACATTTCTGAAGCAGCAGAGCTCCTTCTCCCTCAGACTGATTCAACCTCACTGCCACAAAGAACCCTTGAGGAAATCATTCCTACTGTTCTCTATAAAGCTGTGTTTAAAACTCTTCATGCTGTGACAGGTGAACACACCTGTCAGGCATAAAATCCCAAATGTACTTTGTATTAAACCTTCATTCAGCTGTTTTTTGTTTTTTTTAATTTGCTTTTTTATGTAATGTACATATTAATTAATGCAATTTTCACTTTTCTCTCAGGCAATGTCAGTCTCACTATTACTGTTTTTAACTACAATTTTACTTTTTTGTTTTTAATCACTGCTATAACTCTATAAATTCCTGCATAAGGCTTTTATCATGTATTTCTTTTTTTTATTGCGGTCTCTACTATTTTTACTTTTTATGTTTCTGTTCTAACACCCACATTTCCCTTGTGAGGTCAGTAAAGCAGTTATCTGTCTTGTTTTGTAGGTTAGCCCTGACAAGTTTAGCTCTCTTTCACAAGGGTAACTTGTGAACAAACAAATACTAGTGCTAAGAAAAACTACAGCAGTGTAATTAGCATTTGAGAGGTTTAAGGAACTTGCACTCGCACTCAGACGGGGCCTTCTAGTTAACATTAACCCACATTCAGTTCAAGCAGATGAGCTCCAGACATGCAATTTGTCTGTAAATGACACACTTTGTTGTAGAGCTTCAGTTAGATGTTACCTTGCAGATCAGAGGAGTTGGAGTATATTTGATACTTGATGCCCACTAATATTTAACTGTTGGTTGATTGTAGTTGTGTTAAAATGACAGATCACGATAAGGATGACTACCAGCTGCTTCAAGAGCAGCTGCTCCTGCTAGGTGGCTATCTAAGCCTAAATATTCAACGCTGTTCAGTTATTTCACTGATGAAACACCTTGAACAATTTATGTCAAGTGGCCTGTTTGGCACAACAATAGAAGCTGCGCAATTTTTATATTTCTTGTTAACATCAGAAGTTTCTGAAGACACTGTATGATGTGACTGTATATAACCTTGTATTTTTAATCTTGAGGTGTTGTTTGTTTTCTAGGAAGGAGCATCTGCTCGAAAGGCCCAGACCCCTGCGCTGCAGCCTGTACCTCGTCCAGGTTAGTGTTGAATTCTAAATGTTCATGTTTAATCATACAGAGTAAAAACCTTTTTTTAGTTTTTGCCCATCGTGCCATAGAGTGTAAGGACTGTTTCTGTTTGAGAGTTTGTACTGGAGTGATGTTTTTAACAAAGACAGACTTGCACTCTGTACTACTACAATATTCTTTTCTGTGCCTTATTTTTCATATAGCAAGGGAAAACCGCTAAAAACACCCTATAGTCTGTACATGCTCCAGCTGAGCCTGGGCTAGTTCCTTTTTCATTCATTTCTCAAGGGTTAAATTGATTCTGTCAATTTTTTTGTCCTCCTCCCAAATCCTGACGTAGTCACATCATGACTGTTTTCAGTGCTCCCAACACTGCCTGTTAGTATGTGTTGATCAGCTCTTTTCATATATCAGTCACTCGGGTCTCTTACCAGCAATTTCTAAAGGGACTGTATCAGAGCGTTGTGTGATAATAACGGTATTTGTTTTATTCACAACGTCGACTGTTTCCAGGCGTGGCATTTAGACACATGACTGTACTAATAAAAAAAGAAAAGAATAGTCACATGATTTCTGAATGAAGCTGCATCGCTAAAATAACCTTTTGTCTGTAGAGAAGAATCACATGTTTGTTTGACTCTTCTACAAACGCTGACCTAAGATGCTCTCTTAGCAACTTCCCATTGCATGTGTGGAAGAAATACAAAGTAGAACCAGTTTGACCCATTTGACCTGCAGCAGAGGTTTTAAGCTAAAACTTTGTCTTTGAGTGTGACTGCAAGTCTGACAAAAACTGTCTTTTCTGCTTTATTTAATTATACTCCAATTAGCAAAAGACTAAACGTTTAAATATATTTAGTGGTCTTTCTTTAATTTTTGCCACTACTTTTATAAACTATCTAACGGTTCTCCAGTTGCTCACTCCATGGTGGTATTTCACATGGGATTTATGCATTTGTGTTGCTTTCAGTTTTATCTCCAGCTGCTTCAGCCGGTTGGTAGATATTTATTACTTTAACACATTGCAGAGTTCTTGCAAATCCACAACCCCAATTCCAAAAATGTTGGGACACAATAAAATGTAAATTAAAAACCGAATGCATCCTCTCCTCTTTCAACACCAGTGCAGACCAGATCATGTGCTGTCTGATGTAGGATTCAATACTTGATGTAATTGAAATATGGGTTGATGGCAAATTCTGTTCTTACTTGGATTTTAAACAAGGTCCCAACTTAAACATCATGAAACTGAACCACAGTTTGATGAAATGGGGAACTTGGAGAATCGGCTACATGTATTTTTAGTCTAACACTTTTTCTTTTTTTTATCATTTGACACACTCCGTGTATGCAAGCTTTAAGAGGCAAAGTTGGGTTTCCGTTTTCTTTTCTTTTTTTACTTTTTCTCCTTTTGGACCTAAAGGGTTCATTTATTTCATTGGTTAAAGTTAGCATTAGGTATACTGATAGACACCAGATTCTTCCAACTATCATGTGGAAGTACCTCCCCTTTTCCAAACAGTTTTTAAGGATAAATTAAAAAAAAAAAACACCCCTTTCTGTGTTCAGGTTTATTGATGTTCGTTCAGTCGTTGGATATTGTAAGTCTTACTATTGTTAGAGCTTATGAAGAAAATTTCTTGTCAAGGAAGTGACTTAACAAATACTTGACGCATAGCAAGCAGTTTTACTGAGGATTGTTGTTCTTGTCTTTGGACTCAATATCCACATTCGTGATTGTATTTATTTAAAAATATATTCTTTTAACTGTTTTCTCTCTAGTTTCACAAGCCAGACCTCCACCAAACCAGAAGAAAGGTACATCACATTTGATCAGAGTTAATCACTGTTTTTTTAGTAGTACTGACCAACTGAGCTCTAGTTTTAAACCATTTTTAATGTGGCTTTCTCCACAGGATCCCGAACACCAATCATCATCATCCCTGCTGCCACCACCTCCCTCATCACAATGCTCAATGCTAAGGATCTCCTGCAGGATCTGAAGTAAGTACAAATCATTACTGCCCTTCTTCTTTCTCTAAAGTGTTCACATAATGAATCAACTGCACTGTCTTCCATGCATTGATGTTATTTGGTGGTTGATGTTCTTCAGACATGCAGTAGTGGATTTTTTATTTTTTTTTTCAAGTTGCTCAACACTAAGTTTAGGGCAGAGATTGAAAAAGAGCTGGGCGTGCCAGCGGTGACTGTCTGTGGTCGTTGCCATAGAGCAACAACTGTTTGGAGGTTTAATGACTGGATTTAAAGTTGGCACCTCTGCAAAATGGGCAGTGCTGGCAAGAAAGGTAAAAATTGTACCCTAAGGAGCAGCAGTGAAATGACTTCCAGACTCTGGCCTGTACCAGGTTTATCACATCAGAAGAGAAGAAGAAGCAGGGCATCCCGCGGGACAATGAGGTTCTGCTACAGAGGCGCAAAGACCAGATCCAGCCTGGTGGCACAACACTGAGTGTCACCGTGCCGTACCGCGTCATCGATCAGCCGCTCAAACTGGCTCCCCAGGATTGGTCAGTATATGTATTTTCTCAGTTATATTAGCATTTTACACCATACAGGAACACTATGGAAACAACAAGCCTGTACTCCCCTCTGTACCTTTATCATGAAATGACCATTCATCAGATGACTCAGCTGTTAACGGGGATATTTGAGTGTTTAGCAAATATGACTCATTATTATGCATGCAGCCTGTGTTGAAACCACAAGATGATTACGTTTCAGAGTCTGAGTTATCATATAATGGGTACACAGTACTGGCCGATTGTTGAATAATTTCAGAGGGAAATGGGGGGGGGGAGAGGTGTGTGTTTCCTCTTCCTCACTTCTGCTGGAGCAAGTCTTAAGCCCATGTATAACACCCACTGGTATTGGCATATATGGCACATTACTGGTACTTGTGTAGCACCTTTCTACTTAAGTTGAGTACTCAGTGCTTCCTACTGCAAGCTGCACACAATCATACTCTAGTTGCTGCATTGGATGCAACTTTTCAGTAACCTGCCCAAGGACATGTGGAGCCAGGAGCCGAGGATCAGTCCACCAGTTTTCCGAACCACTCCACTTGACCTACAGCCGATCAAGAATTTCAGCATCGGGCATCCTTGGTTGTAAATCCAACATCAGGAAAACACATATTGTCATATTAATGATACCTGAGATCCTTGCCCTCTGCTGCAGTGTTCAGTGAATGTGTTTACAGCTTATTGCACCTTCTTTAAATGCAGGGCTCTAGAGTGTGACCAATTTGGTCGCAAATGCGACCATATTTTTCAGTGGTGCGACTAAAAAAAAATATTTGGTTGCACCTGTGCGACCAAATGTTCGGGTAGCAAAAGAAAAAAAAAATCTGCAACCTTCCCTGTGGTCAACAACAGACACATATTATGCCCCTATCGTGGACTAAACCAATGAGAGATAGTAAGGGGCGGGACCTCTCTGATGAGGCCTGATCCTTCTGAAATTCATAGCCAGTGCTCTGACACGGTGTCATCAATCTTTGAATGCTGAAAAAGCACAGTGTATCCAGAAAAAACACATTATATTATATAAATTATTATAAAATTTGTGTGCGTACCGGTACGCCCATGGCAAAAAGTTAGTCTAGAGCCCTGAAATGTTTAATCCTGTTTTTTTTTTGTTTTTTTTGACAAGCCTGTTTCTTCCTTCAGGGATCGAGTGGTGGCTGTGTTCGTGCAGGGTCCTGCCTGGCAGTTCAAAGGCTGGCCGTGGCTGCTGCCCGACGGCTCTCCTGTCGACATTTTTGCCAAAAGTAAGTAATATTGTGACGTCTATTTAGACTATTTAGTCTATTTAGTTTCACTGTGTTGAAACGATAGCAGTAAAAAATGGTTGGAGTCGTGATGTTTGGTTTTCCACTCATTCAAAGAATCAGCAAATTGTGAACTCTGTGCCTGTTGTAGACATATTTATCTGTGGACACCTTTCAAAGCACTCAGTGTTACCTGACAACAATAAAATTAACAAGTAGATCAATATTAAAGAGAGATTTAAGTTTGAGATTCAGAAATGTAAAACATAAGGCGTTGATGGTTATAGGTGATATGCTGATACTAACAGGTAGGTTTTGCGCTGTGCTTTTAAGCTGTGTCATAGTTTGGTTGACGGAGTTGGAGGCAGTGAGTTCCAACGATGAGTCTCAGCTAAAGCCTCTAGTGTTAAAGTCTGAAGCGAGGAGCAGTGAGGAGAGCATGGAGCACGGGCAGAGGTGTGAGGAGATGAGGGTGCCAGGTCATGGAGAGCTTTGAAAGTGAGGAGCAGAATCTTGTATTGGATGTTCTGGGAAATGGGGAGACGGTGAAGCTGGGTGAGAATAGGTGTAATATGATAAGTGTGGGTGATTATTCTCTCTGCAGAGTTCTGTACAATTTGGAGCCAGTTAAGAAGTTTTGGGTGGAGATCAGAGAGAATAGCATTCCATTAATCCAAAGGCATGGATTATTGGAATGCTGTTCAAGGGCATGAACTAGAACTTGTGTGTAGCCTGAAGATGTTAGGTGGACTGGATGTGGGTGACAAAGAGAGTATTGTCCATCTATAGAGACATCAGATAGGGTGTCCTTTCATTCAATAAAATAACTTCATGACGGCTTGCGAGCAGGTAATGAGGAAAGGACGGGCAAAGGAGTTGTCAACGTAAAAATGAAACTATATTTCTGAGAAGAAAGAGATCATTTATAAATAGCAGGGGGTCCAGTACTGATCCTTTAGGGACCCCATGTGTGACCGAGGCTAATAGAGAGCGTACAGTCTTGCCTTGAACTATATCCTGTCAGAAAGGAAGGATGTAAACCATTCTCGTGCTGTGTCCTGGAGTCCAGCACTGGCTCGTCATTCTAACAGAAGAGGGTGGGAAGTGGTATCAAAGCAGCACTGAGGTCAAGGAGGATGAGGATGGTGAGAACAGTGCCATGTGATGTCAGGAGGGATGTCAGTGGTCTGTCTAGAACGGAAATCGCGTTGAAATGGCTCGTAGAAATTATTGTTAACTAGAGCTGTGGTGCCACCGTGTCTTCCAGGATTTTAGAGATGAGGTTGGAAAAGGATTCAGAGGGTTGAATGTGTAGAATAAACTAAGAGGTTGAGGAGATATTACTGAAAAACATCCTTACGGTTGCATGAATGCATTTTCCCCTCCAGTTCGAGCTTTTCATTTAAAATACGATGAGGCAACGACTGATCCCAATGTGCAAAAGTGGGATGTGACCGTCCTGGAGCTGAGCCGCCACAGACGCCATCTGGACCGGCCCGTCTTCCTGCGCTTTTGGGAGACCCTTGACAGGTACTTAATTTTTATGCACTTAATTAAATTTCTTAATGTAATTTAATTTCACCTCGATGCACCTTTTTTATTTGTTTTTAATATGTAGTTAACGAAACTTTCTGTAATAAACTCTTTTCCTCGCTCCCTTTTCTTTCTTGGTGAACAGATACATGGTGAAACACAAATCTCACCTCAGGTTCTGAGCCAGGATCACAGCCACAGACACCGAAAATCCCACAAATCAATTCGTCAGCCTTCCCCTTCTAATTGGTCCAACTCCCTCATCCAAGCTGCCAATCCATCTTCCAACATGATCCCCATTTTAAGAGGAAGAGGAGGAGCGATCATTCCAGGGCTTCCTCCAGGACTCCTAATGCAGTCTGCTGGAATTGTTACTTTGGACATCAGAAAGGAGATTTTTGTGTTTTTGTTGTAATTGTTTTCTAATGTTTTCAGGTAGTTAAAGACAAATACCAAAATAAGTTTTATATAAAAGGTAACATGCTGCGGAGATGATTAAAACACAGTACTAAGCAACATGAGCTCAGAGGGAGATGCTTGCCTTTTGTCAGCGGTAAACAGGAAATGTGAGCGTTTTAGTCTGATGAAAACGTGAGAATCTCTGGGTACAACTGAGGCAAGTGCTGAGTTTGAGGAAGAGACTTTCTTTACACTTCTCTTTTTTTTTTTTTTTTGGGTGTTTGTGGTCTGAATGTACATATGTGATCAAATCTGTGAGAGCCAAAACTCCTTGAGCAGAAAGGGGAGTGCAGGTAAATGTGTTCATATGTTAGATTGCTCCTCTGCTCTCACTCAGTTAAAACGATCTCAGTCAAGCAGTCAATGCCTAGTTCAGTTTTTGACAGCTCTGCACACGTCTTGGTCATGCAATGACCTTGTTAAACTCCTTTTTTGTTGGTGTTGTGCTAGATGAGAGAAATTATGGAGAGTATTGCTTTAAAACATCACATGAAAATAGACAATAAAGCCTCTGAGAAACAAGTGCTTGTGTGCAGTCTGCTGAACGTGGGTAGTGCTTATTTCATTATTCTTCTATCTCAGTAGTTTAATGTTAGTTTCATTTCTCCATGTCACCTGAAATACATTGTGTGGTTAATGAGGCTGAACACAGATGCAGCTGAGCCCTAAAATATCTCTCCAGTTTTACTGTGTGGCTCCAGCACTGTTACATAATGTCTTGTGAAATGTAGCTACTATAAACAATTCTAACACATTTTACTGTTGCAGTTGATAATCTGCTCGTGGTTTGATGACTTCATAATCAAAATACGAACTAAAACAAATCCACGAGTATAGAACAAGTGATCTGTGACGGCCGTGATTGGCTTCCTAAGGATTAGGAATAACCTCATTGGGACTGGAGGATGTTTAAACTGGATAGAGTGCATGCTTGCTCATGTTCCATCGTATATAATCTCCAGACGCTTTATTAGGAACACCTTAGTACTTCAAGGTTTGACCCCCTTTTTGCCTGCAGATCTGCCTTAATTCTTCATGGTATAGATTCAGTGAGGTGCCGGAAACCATGTTGACATGACAGCGTCGCAAAGTTGCTGCAGATTTATCAGATGCACATTCATGATGTGATTTCCACATTCATCCACATTCTCCTACATGCCTTCCAGGACCAAGGAGCCGACAGAGGAGCTTTATTAACATGTGAAGAGCCCGACATTTCTGACAGGGCTTAAACAAAGAGCTCAAAGGAAGAGTCGGTATTGGACTCCACCAGGTGGGCAGAAACACAGCAGCACATGAGAAAACAGTGACATAAGTGCTGGTTTCATTTTATTTTACATTAACATTTTAACATAAAAATAAACACGTAATTCACAAAAATCCTGTTAAACCCACTCAAACTCCTCCATAAATGAACTCAAAACCCCATCTCAGGTGGGACAAACACAGGTTCATTGATTTATTTTTTTTGTGACCTGAGTTGTCGCCTCTTTAGGCTCTGCCTGTTAATCGTGGTCCCCTGACAGTAAAGCACTTTCGTTCCCACGGCCCTCGGCCTTTCAGACTTCACATAGGGGAATATGCAAGATGCTGTGGCAGGTAATTTCAAATGCAATGTTTCTATCAGATCAATAAACATCAGCAAACACACGAACAGTTTGTGTGCAGTTTGTAGCACAGTGTTGCGAGCTAAAGGTCCAGCTGCTGTTTTCACGGGGAGAGAAAAGAAAGGGCGCGAACTTCACTCAGAGATGGAGAAAGATGACAAAGACAGGAAAGAAAGAAGAAATGTTTATATTTAAAGATAAGGACTGATCAGTGGTGTTGGAAATTTAAAGCTTACATGTAAGTCCTCGTTTTTTTAAATTGGATATCGGGTTGTGCATGTGACAATATGCTTTTGTTCATGTTGTGAAACCTGCTGCAAAACAAACTGAGGTAGACTCGCTGTGGTTTGCTGCACTGTGATGGGTTTAAAGTAAAGTACAGTGTGTGACCGGTGCACAGTGGCTAAGGTTTCATGAAGTTAAACTGATGATGCTGAGATGCAATCACTGAATTCCACCTTCATACCAACTTTATAGTGTCTAATATAAAGACAGCATAAACTGTGTATTGTATAGAGAATGGAAATTAGCCAGAACAACTCACGAGACATCTGCTGACACCTTGTGTCAGCTGATCACAGCCTGTACACTAAGAAAATCTACTGGAGCTCTCAATAGAATTATTGTGTGCTGTGATTCTTTTGCCCACACTGAGCCATTAAGAACGATTTTAGCGTTCCCCCACGTGCTCAATCCCACTTCAGCCCCTGACTGTGCTCATTTTTTGCTTAGATGCAGAGTCATCCTCTACAACGTAGCCAACAGAAAACAGATTTCTTTTCTCTGCTCATGTTCTGCTTCACTGATTCAAACCGAGAATATTTACTAGTATTAAAATTTAGACTAAAATAAAGTTTGTATTTCCATTTCCTAATATTATTTTATTATTACATTAATAAAAAACAAGGTTCAGTTAGCTTTGCATAGAAGCAGCTGGTAGAAATGTGTTTCACAGAGCTACTTTTACTCTGAGTACATTTCAGTACTTTTTCACTTTCACTTGAGTAAAGAAGTGGAATCAGTACTTCAACTTTTACTGGAGTATTTTTAAACACTAGTATCTGTACTTCTACTTAAATACAGAATCTCTGTACTTTTTCAACGTCTGGCTAGCTGCAATTCATTTACAGCAAATCCCACTAAGTGTGGGCCTGTCTACCCCAGTATTTCTCCTCCAGCTGTATTGGTGGATGAAACCTACATAGAGGATGCTTCCTAGGTGAATGAGAACCAACGGGGACTTTATCAGCAGCGGTCAGAGTACCCAGTGCCCACACTGTGAGCGATTGAAGAGCTGCTCCAAAGGTTTCTGTCTGACTGGTAACACAACATCAAATATGAGGCATCTGGAGTCAATCTGCATTGACCACTTTGTTAAACTTCCTTCAAGGCCGTCTTACATGAACACAAGTTAGAATATTTAACTTTGACCTTTGCCATTCAGTAAACTTCCCTTTCTTCTTTTTGAGCCATGGATTTAAGATTAGTATTATTATCCTACTGAAAGTCTGATTTTTCTCACATAACTATCCAGAGGGAAAATCCAATGTTTTCTTATGTTCATTGGCAAACAATTGTTTTGCTGTGCACAGGAGTAGAGTGGCTCCTCCACCTTTTTGGAGGGTTGGTGATTTGATTCTTCAGTCTGAAGTGTTCTTGAGCAAGACACTGAACATCTTATTTTCCTGCTATTCGACTTTGAACATGTGTGATAGTTAGTAAGCGCCTACAAGGCAGAGAATAGAGTGCTGGCTGAAGGAGTGGATGCAACTAGAAGGAAAAGGATTATTGAGTCCGTTTATTCCACCCTAGTGTTCGTTTTGGACAGCAAAGGCTGGAACACTTGGAACACTTCCCATCCCAGTTAAATTTGTCTCTTTGTGACTGGAAATGCATGCAATTTGGCACTGAGATGCAGATTTTCCAGCAGATCCTTGGATCAAATTGAAGTGTCTGGACTATTCTTTCCATCAAACTCTACTCGCAATTTATTTTCTTTTTTTCACAGTGAATGATTTTTATTTATTGATTTTACAAAAGTGACAATTAAATATTAACTGGTGATTCTAAATTGGCAAGATGTGAACATTTGAGCGTGTTGGCCTCTCTGTGGCCTTGTGACTGGCTGGTGACCTGTGCGGGGTGTACCCTGCCTCTCGCCCTGCGACAGTTGCGATAGGCTCCGGCCTGTCAGCGACCCTGAATCGGATGCGCAGAAGAAAATGGATGGATGCATGCAAAATGTTGTGTTTGAGTGTCAGCCGTTTCCGCTGGATACAAATATATTTTTCACACATTGTCGATGCTTCTGTGCAACTGGTGTTGTTTTGTTCTCAGCGTCCGTCTGCAGCTTTGAACCCGTTTCAGGAACTTAAAAGTAATGTTCAAATCATAGCAGAGCTTTTTCCATGAAATAAATAAATAAAGGAGTATCCCAAAAAAGCAGTTCAGAGAGTGAAATTGTGCTCTTTCATTTCTTCTCGTTTTGAAACACCATGTATGCCATTTTCCAGCCCTGAAATTAGAAAGTTACAGATTCATTAGAATCAAAAGTAGTAACAGAAATGTTGCCTGAAGATGTTCCCTGGATCATCAACAGGGAGAAAAAGGGCGATGCGAGAATACAGTTGCATTTAAAAACACTCAAATCAACCAAGAGCATGACATTATGATACATTTATTTTCCTGCCTTTCTTTGAGAATGTACCATCCTAAAATCTCCTCATTAAAATGTAAAGGTGGTAAAGTGCTTTCAGTCAGCCATTGTTTTCTATACAAATCCTATCATTGCATCTGCAGGGTCAGCTAACATCAAGTGGCTGATGCTGAGCCTCAGTTTTTGTACTAATGTGTGCAGTTACAGGTCAAGCTCTAGCATTGCTATGCTTGTCCTGAGCTAAGTATTACAGCATTGCACATATATAATATTTAACTGATTAATTTGATGACATCAGTTGAATTTGTTGGAGCAGAAGCAGCGAATAAGGTCAAAGCAGGACAACCTTTACATATGTCATGTGACACAAAATGATGTCAACATATTCGCTGTTAAAAATATTTGCTCTTTTATGGGATGTTTTATGTTTTCTTTGCCATTTGAAATTATAGCCAGAAATCCAATTTTCCCACCAGCACTTTAATGCAGAGCCCATGAAGATCCAGGAGATGGTGATCACACACAAACTAAAGGATCGCATTACAGTCATCAGTAATAATCTAACCCTAAATCATTATTCCTCCTTATTTTATAACATGTTTTCACTTTTTTGCCTTTCACCTGTGTTACTCCAGCCTGACCTTTGGCTTGGCTGTGTTTGGTATTTCAAAACAACAAAACCGTGACCTCTGATCACGGCAGTCCGGGAAATCATTTTGAAATGCGCACTCTAAACAAACTGTTGTGAGAGCTGTTCCAAACAAGGCTGAATCCTGGACGATATATAGAGTAACCCAGCCCACCACACACACACACACACACACACACACATACAAACACAGACACGCTGGCATTACAGTTATAAAACCAAAAGTCAACATTAAATTAGAAATTAGAAGCTCAAACTAAAGGTGCACAGAGAGTCTGCAACTATAATTGTACAGAAGCAAGTATTTTTGCAATGCTGGTCAGTACATTCCTCCTCGTACAGTTTTCCTGTGCGTCTGAAATCAATTTGAAGGAAGAAAAAATGTAACTCTACAGGTTTGACTTTTCCCTCCAGTTTACTGGATTTTAGATGCTTGCTCCATTTGGGCATGTGGGCAGAGGCATGGTTAGATTTGGGGGGGATTTCCGTAAATAATTATTAACCACCTCTGATTTTATCTCGTCTCTGTGCTCTCATGTTTGTTGCGTTACTCTGCAGTATTTGAGCTCCTGACAGGATGTGTGCGCGCTATCTTGGATTTGTGCTTCTGATTTGGTTTGCAGGAGTGACGCATGGTAAGAATATTAAATTCACTTCCTGCTATTTTCATACTTAAAAACACATTTTTAAAAAGTGCATTTTCCTCTAGTTGCTTACTTGTTCATCACTTTTTCAGCACAAAATGAAAATGTCTGCAGGGCTCCTGTGCTGGATGGGGGTTATTATGTCCCTGAAAAAGAGACTTACTTTCTTAAAGAAGAGCTCACTTACGCTTGTGATTCTGGACGGAAACCGGTGTTGGAGGGTTGGTGGGCGACAAGCAGATGTGAAGATGGGAATTGGGTTCATAAACCACAGTGTATAGGTAAGTGTTCAGTAATATCTCAACAAATTTGTTTCAGTTAGACGCTACAAATCTGCAGGAGTGCGAACTTTATTCAATACCATCAGTTAGCTGTTCATTAAAAGAACAATGTGGAGTGATGCTGTTGTATGAAAGAAGTAATGCATTCAGTTTGAAGCCATAAAAAATTATCCTTATTTGTTATTTGTTTTATTAAATTGTACTCTAATATGTAGTATAATATTTAAAAGTACACAGTAATGTAATGCATACCAAACCCAGCAATTACTTGACAGCTTAGTGTGAGTCTGACGGGTGATATTACTTTCTTCTGTTTACAGAACAGGGTCCTAAATCAGAACAATCGAGGAGCGTGTCAGGATACATTTCACTGCGTGTTGTAGTCGTATAACTATGCATGTGACAAATAAAGAATCTTGAATCAATTAGAGGACAAGAATAATATGAAAACAAGTAAAATACAGTTTAAAGAAAGTCATCAAATGAGTTTTTTTTTTTTTATCTTCTTCAGATCAAAATGCCTGCCTCCCCCCAACAATACCTCATGGAAAATATGATAAAGCAGAAGACGGTTGGTACAAAGAACGGGACTCTATTTTGGTACAATGTGACGATGGATATGAATGCAAAGACAAGTGTACGCCCAGGTGTAGAAGTGGAACCTGGAGCCCTTTGCCTGTCTGTGAGAGTAAGTCTGCCAGATCCCACACAAACAAATCACTTTCTCACCACCTTCGTCAGTCGGCTTGTAATGACAGGTTTTTTTGTTCCTCACAGGAAGGAGGAATTCATGCAGTGAGCCTCCAAAAATCTCTCATGCAGTCATAATTCATCAATACAAGGAGGTGTTTTCTGAAGGTTCAGAAGTGCAGTATGAATGTGAAGAAGGTTATACTCGAGAGGGCAACAATATCTTTTGTGAACGTGGACAATGGACTGCAGGGCCAACATGCAGTAAGTGTGTAAAAAATTCATTTTATTTTTTCTCAAAGTTTATAAGGAACCAGTTTCTATATGTACGTTCATCAGAAGAGATTCATGCACAGCATGTGTAGAAACTGAATTATTGGCTTTTGAAATTGCAGTTGCACTTTGGGACAGCTTTTTGTTTACTTTTTCCTGGTGCAGGTTGATCCAATGTTGCAAGATGACAAATGACCTGCAAGAATATTTATTTCTGCTTATGACAATAAAAATGAACCCTGCAATCCAAAACAAACAAACAAAACAAAAGCTGCATAATAAATACAACAAGGTCTCACTAAATTGAAAGTGGAAAAAATAAAAATCCATATAATTATATAAATGCAGTCCAGGTCTGAGAGACATTAAACTTTACTTTGGCAACAGTCTGTCAGCATCATAACAGGGAAGATTTACCTTTTTTGGGGTCTTTTTTCTTCTTTACATGGGCTGCTTAGTTTTTATAGGATGACAACCACACCTTTTATCAGCAGTAACTGAAATTATGTAGGACTTTTGTCTTGTTTGAAAATTTGTATAAAATTTGAGAATAAATCTGATAGGATTGCCACTGTTACTTGAATTGTGCTCTGAATTCATTTGCAAGTCAGCAGGTAAACAACAGTTTATGTGACAGAGCACGTTAGCATTAAAGCTGCTTTTAAGCTGAATAGTCTCAATAATATCTTCGGTTCTGCAGACGAATCATCAGCAGATCAGGGACACTCTGCATCAGACACAGACGTCCAGCCTGAGGGGGGAGGTACATTTTTAATCGTTTTGTCCGTGCACCTCATCTCTGTGTTTGTGTATACTTTAAATCTAAAGCATGTTTTTCATTTAGACAGAAGAGAAAGTGGAGCTGGCAGTGGTAAACAACCGGAGGGTAAGTGAAGCATATTAATTAGTGGATCCAGTCATCTCATCTCTCAGATTATTGCAGCATTTTTGTACACAGATATTTATTTTTGACTCTCATTTTTGATTTAGAAACAAGAATTGCAAGACAAGCATTAAAAAAGAAAACGGAAACTAGTAAATTTCAAATGCTTTGCAGATTATTTGGCTTCAATTTTCACCCCAACCCTTATCACAGATCTGAGGAAGCTCTAAATTATCATGTCATTACTCTCCATCTGTCTGTGAAGGTTCTTAGTCATCCAGGTCATCGTAGTCAAAGGAGCTTGCAAAGAAAAGCGTCTGGACTTCTTTAAGTTACTTGAAGACGTTTCACCTCTCATCCGAGAAGCTTCTTCAGTTCTAAGGTCAAATGGTGGAGAGTCCCAGATATAAACCTAGTGGGAGTATCCCCCCACAGAGGGACAAAAGGACCCCCTGATGATCCTCTAATCGCCTGAGCCAAGGTGGGAAACTGGGCGTGGGTCCCAATCAGCCAGAGTTTCGGGTTGAGTTCATTGTGAAACCTGGCCCCACCTTATCATGCGAATTCCTGAGGTCAGATGGCCCAGGATGTGAGTGGCCGTTAAGGTGTCTGGGAAGGGATCTCAAAACTGGATTATAGATGGCAGAGAGTTGGTGTCGTAAACCACCGCCTCTGTTCAAAGATGGTCGCTCACAGTGGACATAGATGGCTTCTTTCACTCCTCTTTCAAACCATCTGTCCTCTCTGTCCAAAATGTGAACATTGGCATCCTCGAAAGAGTGTCCTTTATCCTTAAGATGCAGATGGACTGCTGAGTCTTGTCCTGTGGAGGTGGCTCTTCTGTGTTGTGCCATGCGCTTGTGAAGTGGCTGTTTGGTCTCTCCAATGTAGAGGTCTGGGCATTCCTCGCTGCACTGTACAGCATACACCACATTGTTAAGTCTGTGTTTTGGCGTTTTGTCTTTCGGGTGAACCAGTTTTTGTCTGAGTGTGTTGCTGGGTCTGAAATGCACTGGGATGTCGTGCTTGGAGAAAACTCTCCTGAGTTTTTCTGATACACCGGCTACATAGGGGATGACAATGTTGTTGCATCTGTCCTTCTTATCCTCCCTCGCTGGTGTCTGATCTTCTTTTCTGTGCCTCTTTGCTGACTTTAAGAACGTCCATTTAGGATAGCCGCACGTTTTGAGTGCTTCCTTTACATTTGTGTGTTCCTTCTTTTTTCCTTCAGGCTTAGAGGGAACATGTTCTGCCCGGTGGTGTAGGGTCCTAATTACTCCAAGTTTGTGTTCCAGAGGGTGATGGGAGTCAAAGAGGAGGTACTGGTCTGTGTGTGTGGGCTTCCGGTAAACTTCGATGTTGAGTTTGCCGTTCTCTTCAATGTGCACAGCGCAGTCCAGGAAAGGCAAACAGTTGTCCTTTGTGTCTTCCCTGGTGAACTTGATGTTTTTATCCACAGCGTTAATGTGTGCAGTGAAGGATTCCACTTCTTGTGTCTTGATTTTGACCCAGGTGTCGTCCACATATCTGTACCAGTGGCTGGGTACTCTTCCTTTGAAAGAGCCAAGAGCCTTCCTTTCCACTTCCTCCATGTAAAGGTTGGCTACAATAGGTGACACGGGGGAGCCCATGGCACAGCCATGTTTTTGTCTGTAAAAGCCTCGTTGTATTTGAAATATGTAGTGGTGAGGCAGAGGCCTAACAGTGTGCAGATCTGATCGGGTGTGAAGTTGGTCCTGTCCTCCAAGGAGCTGTCGTCTTGTAGTCGTTTTCTGACAGTCTCCACTGCCTCCGTGGTGGGTATGCAAGTGAAGAGAGAGACTACATCAAAGGACACCATGGTTTCATCTGGATCCAGGGTAAGTTTCTGGACCTTGTCGGTGAAGTCGGTGGAGTTCTTGATGTGGTGTGGGGTGTTCCCCATGAGAGGTGCAAGGATGGTAGCAAGGTGTTTAGCAATGTTACAAGTGGCTGAGTTTATGCTACTGACTATGGGTCTGAGTGGGACAGCTTCCTTGTGGATTTTAGGAAGTCCATAGATGCAGGGTATGGCATCCCCTGGGTAAAGGCGGTGATATGTAAGGCGGTCAATGATTCTTGAAGGCAAGCTATAACTTTCTTTTTGTAGCTGCTTGTGGGGTCTTGCTTTAAGGCTTCGTAGGTATTATTGTCACTGAGAAGAGTAGTGATCTTTGTGTGGTAATCTGTAGTGTTTAGGACCACGGTGCATCTTCCCTTATCAGCTGTTAAAACAGTGATGTTGTGGTCTTTGCTCAGGGAAGCGACGGCCTTCTTTTTTTGTATTGTGAGGTTGGACGAAGGGACTTTGGCACTGGAGAGGGTGGCTGAGACTTTCATCCTGATTTGCTCTGCTTCTGTCTGTGATAATTTATTAATCCGTATGGCGGTTTCTGTGGCTGTGATGAGGTCCACTATGGGCAACTGTTGCGGGGAAATGGAAAAATTGAGTCCTTTGGCTAATACTCTCTTTTCAGGTTCAGTGAGATTCCAGTCTGAAAAGTTCTTTACCCATTTCTCCTGACTGTCTTCAGGTGTGTTTTCTTCCCTGAGTTGTGTAGGTTCAGAATGAGGGGTGTGTGTTTTTGAAAGCAAGGTGTGAAATTTCCTGCAGTTGAAGGGTGTTTCTCCCAAAATGTACGGCAATATGTCTGTGAAGGTTCTCAGTCATCCAGGTCATCGTAGTCAAAGGGGGTCCTTTTGTCCCTCTTTGGGGGGAAACTCCCACTGGGTTTAAATCTGGGACTCTTCGCCATTTGACCTTAGAACTGAAGAAGCTTCTTGGATGAGAGGAGGTGAAACGTCTTCAAGCAACTTAAAGAATTCCAGACGCTTTTCTTTGCAAGCTCCTTTGACTCTTCTTATGTTTCTTTTTACTTGTTGTTGTTTTTGCAGAAGCGCTCTGTTTGGTGGATCCTGCTAGATATGCTCGTTATGGTCTTGCAGTAGCTCAACCTGAATACATGCGGGAAGGAGAAGAAAAATATTTTTCTTGTACTGCAAGAGACAGACATATTTTTGTTCGGTGTGCTAACAGAAGAATATATTTGGGCAGATGTAAGTATTTATCTCTTTACATTTTAACTCTTTCAGTTTCTATTTTCCTTTAGCAGCAAACATGTATGAAAATTTCTTCTCTGGGACCTGATACACAAACGAGAGGAATAGTGAAAGAAAAATAAAAAACATAAACATTTCCCACACAGGAACATACTGAAAGAGCATTGCTGATTTGTTAAAAGCTGCAGCTGATGTTTGTGTATAGGAATGACACATTCACTTCATGTTGTATTATGTAGAGTTGTCCCCAGCTTCCAACAGCCAAACTCATCTACCTGCCTTCGTCCCAGCACATCACACAAAGCAGGAGATTCACTCTTTATCACAGGAACAAAGTGATTTAGTGTGCAG